GACGAGTTTTTGAGCAAAAAATAGTATTTGATAACAATACAAAATTTCTGTTTCTAAAATAGAAATTTATTTGATAGGTTATCCTTAAATTTCTGTTCCTGGTGGATGGGCGGTGGGCGGCAATGAGCAAGCGGCGGTGGGCAGGCGGTGGCAGACGGCCGGCGGGCGGCGAGGGCGAGCGATAAGAGAGTTGTTATTTTTATTTTTGTTCCAGAGATAGAAAAGTAAAAAAAAATCTACTTCTTATTTTTGCTCCAAACTTGTTTCTGGGCTAAAAATTTGTCTCGGAAATAAAAAAATGAAGTTGTGTTGCTAAACAAATTTCTGTTCCAAATCTATTCTCGAGAACAGAAAATAGAAAAATAGGGAAACATAATAGCTATCATTCGTACTCTAATTGTGTAATGATAAAATTTTTAAGAGGCATGAGATCTCTAAATTAGCATATATAGTTTATTACACTAATAAGTTTTAAACTTCCAATCACCAATTCAGCCATATATAAATCCGCATAGCCATTCTTTTTTTTTTTCTAACAAGAATCCAAAGCAGAAATTTTCATATCAATGAAGCTAGTAATTAAAATAAATTCAAGTACACCACTACATCATATTGCTTAGACCAATCGATCATTCTCAGCCGATGGAATATAAAAAATTTGTTGTCTTAACGAGCATTACTTTCAATCTGTCATATTGGGTAACGGGATCTCGTGTGCTAGAAGATACACTAAATACAGTTAATAATCTCATTGAAAGCTAGACTTAGTAATTGAGTAGACTGAAGATAGAATTTCCATTACTAATGTAATGAATTCTTTAAAAATATAAAGAACCCGCATTATGCTTTTCCGAAACCCGATTTTGCAAACACTCTATCCATGGTCAGTTGATTTATTAAAACCAAGAAATGAAACAAAATTAGGAAATACAAAATATGGTTGTCGAGGACGAAAACCCTAGCGCAGTTAGACCGAATATTCCATTCTCTTGCTCCCGAATGAGCTAATGGCGTTTAATGTATAAAAATTTTCCTCCTAGCAATTCTCAACCCATCTCATCTATCCTTGAATGCTTTACCAACCAAATTGGAATTGACAAATTTTCAAAAGAATTAGCATTAGTCACGCAAAAGACGGCAGGGTCCACTTTTGAGGTTAGTGTCACCATAACAGTAATAGTATATTATCCGGATAAACTTATGGTGTTAATGTAGAAAAAATTGTCCTAGCGACTTTTAACCCATCTTATCTTGATCAACTACTTTCATTTTTCAATGACTTACCAACCAAATTGAGATTGGCAAGTTTCCACAAGAGTTAGCATATGTCATGCCAATATATATGCATCCCAACAACCAATCACTAGCTTCATACTCATTATAGTAATATTCTTCTCCTGTGATTGATTGAATCATGAAGTACAGCCTATGTACACACACACACAATGAAAAACCAATAGGACTTTCTCCTCTCTGCTTCGTCATTCTCATAGGTCACGACTTTCTCCTCTCTGCTTCGTCATTCTCATAGGTCACTCTCTCCTCGTTGTTTTCTTATCTGCGAAAGCAACTACTATAATTTATAAAACAGATGAACACACACGCTCTCTCCCAAAATAGAAGTTAACCAATGAAAATCTGACACTGTTAAACCCTAAATATTAATATACAACATGTAAAATCTTATTATATTTGGGGCTGAAGAATTTTTTGTATGTATGGGACACGTGGTGGGTCATCATTAGGTGGAAGCACATGGCCTCGCGATTTTCACGATGTGCTGGTCATTGATCTACTCTCGATGCGGGACCTCTGTTCATCTCTCTTGAGAAAACCTAAAAATGCCACGCAAAGAGTCAAACATATGGGTAAAAATGCCAAAAAAAATGATAGCTTATATTTGAAAATTATTGTCTATTCATTATTGATTTATTATTCATTCTCTGTGTATTTGACATACACTCAAACAGTAAATTTGTGCGTGTACGTCTGAGAGAGATATCGTTGACTGGTGATTTGCCCCTTCTTAATTTTGTAGAATTCGTTTTAATCTTTGATTAGAGATAAGTAGTGACTAACTTCTTATCCTTGTAGAGTATTTTTAGGGATTCAATTTGAGAGAAAGTAAATCATTTTTCAGGGTTCATTTGTGATGAAAATAAGTTGAAAAGAAATTGATTATATAGTGTTGGATAATAAGCGAATCTACTAAAGGCAGCTTGTATCGTTAGAAATTATACGTAAGACCAACAAACTAGAATGTAAACATATTCTTTGTTTATCTTGTAGTCCATCAAAATAACAAGAATTACAAAAAAAAATTAGGAAACAAATTTAGAAAATATATTTGTAAAACATCATATAGGATTATGTTTTTGGGAAAATGTAGAAGAACACGAGCATTGATGAAGTATTCGGGAGATGGTAGACGAGATTTATAGAAAAAAACAGACAAGACATTTCGAAAAGGAAAAAACATCAAAGGACGATGATATCTTTGTTGTAAGAAAGAGAAGTTATTTTCCCATAGTTTAAGCTTATTGTTTTCGGTCTATGGAAAATGCTTTCTGCCAATTGAGTATTTTTTCGTCATTCAAACGTTCGAAAGTCTGAAAACAATTTCAGGAAATCAGTTTTTATCACCCAACTAGTTTGTAAAGAAATTCTCAACATAAACATATATCCTCGATTGCTTGATCATTACAATATGGAACATATAATTGTGATGCCCTAGTTTTGTTCTTCTTCAAAATGAATGCGACAATCACAACCATTCAAATCCGGGCATGAACAGTAGATAACGTAGTAAAGCACTATGCAATCATATAACCCGAAGTGTCCAAGAATCTTGCCGTCTCTTAGTTACTTTCCTCGCTATGCTTATCAACAATCTCATGAAAATGAATGCTTCTAGTAACTATGATTATTTAATATTGATGATAATGTACCAGTCGAAAGAGCTATTTTTTTTTATAATTGTGAAATGACACGTGCCACATTATCCCATTATTTTTTGACCTAAAAAGAGCCCAATCTACATCTTCAATTAGATAAGATTAAAAGACTTAATCATACCATCAACTTTGCTTAGATGAATGGAGCAATCTTTTAAACCACAGACAGGTAGCAACCCAGAGACATCCATTATTTCTTTTATTCGCAGTAAACCCTCCATATATTTTACATACCATAATAGTCACATATTTAATTCATAATTATATAAGACGAGGATTTGTTTTTGTAATTATCAAGACAATATGCAAGACACATTACAATATTTGATATATGAAATGACATGCAAAATTGTCCAAAAAGTGTTAAACCTATTGCACTTTTGCTAATTTAATCCTAAATCTTTCAATTTTGTCAAGTGAGCCCTAAACCTTTTCACTTTTTATCAATTAAGTCCATTCGGCCAATCTTGACTGGGATTAGCTGATGTGGACACCGGTCATGCTACTTGGTACAGCCGGCACTGACGTGGATAATTTTTAAAAATATATTAATATTTTTCAAATACTTTATTAATATTTTTATTAATTTTTCTTTTGTTCTTCCCTTTTTTTTCTATTTTCCTTCTTTTTTTTTAATTGTGACCGGGGAGGGCTCGGTGGCCATTAGGCAAGGCCCGACGATAGTTGGGCCTCGCCGGCTGCTGGCGAGGGCCACCAAACCCTTGCAAACCACGGGCCTTACCCAAATTTGCGAGAGGCCAACCTCGCCATCCACAAGGGAGGCTACTTTGCCTGCGGCCAGCGAGGCTAGCCTCGCCACGATCCTCACCTAGAAGGCCATCGTGGTTGCGAGTTTGGACTAAAAGCTTTCACCTCTGCCATTGCCGCCGAAGAAGCCTTAATCAATTGAGCAAATCTGTCACCGGGTGCCCATTACTGTCCCTACACATGGCATTGATAGCTCCTTCGCTCCTACCTTCTAGGTAAGCTTTGTCAATGTTGATTTTCAACTTTCCTCTCTCCAGTGGCTACTAAGAATGAGTTGGGTTTGCTACTAAAGCTTCGTTTTTTCTCTTCGCAGATCTGGGCGAAGCTGCCTCGCCACTCGCTTCCGGCCAACGAGGAGGAGGTGAGGCAGCCTCACCCAGATCTGGGTGAGGGCAGCTGGGCCCTCCTCGGCCACTGTAAAAAATATAAAGAAGGAAAAGAGGAAACAAAAAAGAGGAAAAAAACAAAGAAAAAAAATTCAAAAAATATGAAATAATTTTAAAATATCATTAAAAATTGAACACGTTGGCGTCGGCCGCGCCACGTAAGATGGTCGGCATTCATCTCAGTGAATTTCGGCCAAAATTGGCCAGATGGACTCAATTGGCAAAATGGAAAAATGTTTAGGACTCAATTAACAAAATTGAATTGTTCAGAACTGAATTAGCAAAAGTGCAATAAGTTTAGGACTTTTTAGACAATTTTCTCTGAAATGACATAACAGACTTTATAAATTGGATGTTGAACATGATTTATTGATTTGAACGATCACTCAAAAATCACTTAATATAACAAATTTGTATTCTTCCACTGTTATTTACATACATATATTACTGACTTCTAATTAATACTGAAAATCCCCCATGACCTGCAGTACCCCTTTTTTCCTCTCTCTCTCTCTCTAAAGACGTAAAATACCTTCAACTATACTGTTTGTACAATTATATGACATACAATAAAAAGAATCCCTCCCTTAGACAACAGCTGTACAGGTAGGGTTTTCAGATAATACACATTAAACCCATCATTAATGCAATAAGCTGTCTGTACATGAATTTTAAGGAAGTAGAATGAATTGCACAGGAACCCACATTTACACATTTCCGATTCTGAATCCAAAGTTCTCCATTCCATTACACCGAATGACAGTCTAGAAAGAAACTTAAAAGACATCAAGAAAATGGAGATGGATGAAAAGAAGAAAAAGGAAAATGACTTTTTGCTTTTTTTTGACATTTTCCTTCCCCTTTTTTGACATATTTTGTGTTCTGCGTAACGATAATGAAATCTCCAAAAGTGACCTTATAATGGCTCCAAAAAGCCGGTCATTCTAAGAATTGAATTCCGCACTTTACTCAAATATCTCCCCTTAAGCGTCCTCCCATGGCTAAAGCACACCGATGATGCCATCCTTGCAGCCATGCGCCGCCCGACGATCAAGTGCGGCGGCACGACCTTCCCTTCATCATCACCTTCCTTGAATGTGTAATCAGATTCTGGGGACCGGATGAAAATTTCTGGGATATCAACCGGCTGCGAATTTGTCATCTTCTTCTTCTTGACCTTCTTCTTTTTTGATTTGCCATGTGCCCACGAGTTGTCGTGAATCTGCGCCACCATTGTATCGCAAAAACTGTAGTAATCGTGCTTGTCCTCATCGCTGCTCCGATCCATCGTTGCTTTATCTTGATCGGTGAAAACTATGTCGGATTCTTGAAATTCGAAATCCATGAAGATTGAGGAGGGAGAGATGGGAATTGTGATGATATGAACAGGGTGCAGAGGTGGGGGATTTTGAGAGGATGTATTAGTGGTGAAGGGGGGAATGGGGGTGATTTATAGGTGGTGGCGGTGGTGGAGGAGAGAGAGTGATGGGTGAAGAATTAAACTTGGAGAATCTAAGCCGTAGTGAGCACACTTTGCAATTGCTTATGATGTTTTGTCAAAGTACGATTATTGTAAGAAGGGGATTGAGTGTGGTCCCATGTACCTTCTTCCTTTACTTGGTTTCTCTCTATACGAGTTCTTGAGTGTGGGGTTTTCTTTTCTTTGCCTTCCTTTTCTCTCTCTAAGTCGGCTGCCTAAATAAAGCAGCTCCCCCATTTCTTGCGGGTCACGGCTGTTTTGGTTTTATAGCTTGTTTAGTTATTCAATTAACCTGGCAAAAATAAGATTTCTATATGCTACATAGTTCGTGTACTTTCTTTCATACATAACCTATCTTCATCATCATTAATCGGATAGTTACGATTTGATAATTTGACCAACTATCCAAATCAACGATGATATATGTGAAATGTATAGAGAAAAGAGTATACGACCATATATTTAAAATTTTTCCGGCACAAATTTGGATATGGCTTTAATTGCGGTTTATTGTGCTTCATGGTAATGAATTGTGGAATATGAAATGCATTGCATGGTATAAATGCTAAAAAATTCATAAGCTTTCATTATCATGTATTTTTGCACTGGACGAAGAGGATGTTATTACATTTAGAATGTATCTTATCTTGGAGTTGTTTCATGGATGTACGAGCTCTAATAGTAATTAGATACCACATGAAAATACGCTGCAAAATATACATTCACCACCGTCTCTGAACTTATGGTTTAGGAGTGTTTGTTTTTTACTTTTCATAAGCAAAAAGTACCTTTTTGGTTTTGTCCCGAAAAAATAGTATTATTCACATTTTAAAATGTTAGAGAAAAAATTACCGTGAAAACTTACATATTAACATTTGTGTAGTGTAAAAGTTTCAGGTCTTTCAGGTTCAAAAAAGTCAAATTGAGTGAGCCGCAAGATTTTAAAAAATACAAAAGGTAAAAAATAAAAGTCATTCAAAGCACATATGACCAAATTTGAAAATGAAATCTCCATGATTTTCCATCAAATGCTAACTGAGAAAAATTTACTTATTAGATTATACTCATACAAGTCGCATAAGTCTGTCAAAAATTGTCAGCATATAACAATGAACTTCCGAGTACTTATTATCTCGTAATTAAAAAGAAATCGGAAGTATTAGAAAAATTACGTCTGCAATACAGATTTTGATTTGGTTAGAATTGAACACTTAATTATACAAGTAAAATTATCATATTATATCTCAGGATTAGTACTTGACTAATAGTATATATAAGATATTAAGTTGAAAACTGAAGTCTTCGCAAATAAAGATAATACAAAAATTAATATGTGAATAAACCGTTTAATTATGAAAGCTTTTCTTTGTTAAAGTAAAATCCTAAATGGAAAGAACGTGTTGTATATGTACAAATATGAGAACTTCAGGAATAAAAAGAATTATATTTTGGCTAACATTTGGTATCAGAGCATGATTTTGGATCTCATGATTTTTTTATTATTATAAATATATATGTTTTCTTTAATGATCACCCATTAATTCTCGTTAAAGATACACACACATCGAATTGATTAATATAAGTACTTGCTTAATGAAATCGCACATAAATTACTGTTTGGGTTTAGTGCTCTTGGTGTATATATATTTTTATGTTTTCTAGCATGTTCTTAAGGCATCATAATGTATAATTTTGATTGTCATACCTTTAGAATGATTATATCACTAAAGTGATTAAATCTTGATATTTAGAGATAATCAAATTATGAAACAATTATTGTGTTTAACAATTTAAAATTTAATGGTTTGTTAGTCACCAAAGTGGCCGAATCTTAAGGTCTCTCTTGAATGTTTAAAATTATAATGTTTTATAATTACCTGTGATTAATTGATGCTATGAATAAAATTAAGATGTTACATATCCTTATTGGTGTCAAGGGTACATTGACGTTCATTTATTGTAAGAATTTAGGGATTCACCCTAAGGTTAATCGATTTCTTATAATTCATGAACGTAATATTTGGTAATTAATATGTTGTTAGATTTCATTGTATATCCAAAGATAGCAAGTAAATTTTAATGAGGTGTATTTATAATTACCAAATAAAAGTTATTAGCATCATTGTGATTTAATGTATTTTTTGTATCATAGGATCACCCAATGGAGAACTATGATGTACATGTATTGTTTAATTTGAATCTGATTACGTGCTATTCTCAGAGTATTAATATATGAATGTTTTCTTGCATATTTGCAGTATATGTACTTGTTTCTTCTCATTCGCATGCTTCATCTGTTTCTTTATTCAATGGAATGAATTTCTCTGATTGGTGTGAACAAGTCCAGTTTCACTTAGTTGTCCTAGATCTTGATTTAGCACTTCAAGTGGAAGAATCGGCTGCTATTACCGATGAGAGTAGCAATAATGAAAAGCCTTTCCACTAAGCTTGGGAAAGATTAAACATATGAAGCTTAATGTTTTTACGAATGATAGTTGCAAACAACTTAAATTCTACTTTTCCCAAAACTGACAGTGCTAAGGAATTTATGAAATTTGTGGAAGAACTTTCTCAAATTGCTGATAAATCACTTGCTAGTACATTAATGAGCACTTTGACCCTCATGAAATATGATGGTTCACATTGTTGGAGTTGGCGAATACTTCGGGGACCCTTGTTTCTCACACCGGGTACGCCCACGTGAGCTTAGGGAAACTGAAGTGTTGTCCGACGACATGTGACCCATGCGTGCGGAGATGCGGGGGTTCGGGGGCGCGCCCCGACACAGGGTGTGCCCATTTGCCGTCGGCCAGGCGGGGGTTCGGGCGGCGCCCCACGGACGGGGTTCCACCGCTGCCTCTGGTCGCCGGACGGCCGCCCTCGCTCGACGGCTGGCCCGTATGGTGCGAGATTAAGAGATTTCATATAGGTTTAGGTTTTGGGCCCGTTTGGGGCATATATATATTTTGCTCATTTTTCTGATCATTGTAACGAGTTGAGTGGCTGTAAACCGAAAACATAGTGAAATCTCTTTGCAGGACGTAGCCCTAATCGAGGGTGAACCTGGGTAAATTCGTGCATCGTCTATTTTCTTTGTTTTCTGCGTGATCGTTCTGTTTCGGTTCTCGATACGTCCCTTCAATTGGTATCAGAGCCAGAGTTGTTCGAGGAATTAGGGTTTATTTGAGATGTCAGGAGGATCACGAATTGAGATAGAAAAATTCGACGGAACGCGGTTTGATCTGTGGAAGATGAAGATGGAGGATCTTCTCTGTGATCGAGATCTTTGGTCGGCAATCGAAACGGAAAGGCCTGTTGCTGCGCAACCTGGTGTCGTGATAGGCAAGGAAGCGGTGAAGGAAACGGATTCAACTTCCAAACCGGCAGATCCAAAGGAGATTGAAGACTGGAATCGGATTGATCGGAGAGCAAAGGGTTTGATTCGGCTTTGTCTCGCAGACTCGATTCTGACAAACGTGATGGGGGAACCTACAGCCAGGGACCTATGGCAGAAACTGGAGTCGCTGTATCAAAATAAGTCGTTGGTTAATAAGCTGTTTTTAAGGAAAAAGCTGTATAATCTTCGGATGCATGAGGGCGACTCGTTTTCTGCACATCTGTATAACTTTAACACATTGATTAGTCAACTCGTATCAATCGGTGTTAAGTTCCAAGATGATGATAAGGCAATAACACTGCTCTGTTCACTGCCGGATTCATGGGATAACCTGATTGTGGTTATCGATGGTGGGGATAAGGAATTATCGTATGAAAGTGTGTGTTCTGCCTTGTTATCGGAGGAGACACGAAGAAAGGGATCGGGAAATTCCGGTAAAGAGGCATTGGCGGCCAGGGGAAAGCCAGCAGAGAAAACTCTGAATCTGAGAGGATCCAGTACCAAATCTCGTGGGCGATCGAAGAGTAGGGAGAGGAGGGTACAGTGTTGGAAATGTCAAGAGTGGGGCCATGTGAAGCGGGACTGTAAAAACAAGCCAGTTTTTAAGAAAGAAGCTGAATCATCCTCGGGTAAAAAGGAGGTCGATGCAAGAGATATGTATTTGGCTGCTGCGTGTATGGCGCAGTCAGACAAGGATATATGGTTGATCGATACCGGTGCTTCATACCACATGACGCCTTATAGACACTGGTTTTGTGAATATGAGCAATATAATGGTGGGGATGTCATGCTCGGAGATGATACTGCAGTTCAAATTGTCGGGCGTGGCAGGGTGAAGCTGAGGATGAGTAATGGCACGGTGAAGACTATTCCAGACGTGATGCACATACCCTTGATGAGTAGAAATTTGTTATCAGTCGGTACGATGGCTGATTCGGGGGTTATTTTTAGCTGTGATAAGGATTCATGCAAGATGACTCGAGGTTCTATTGTGATTACACGAGGAGTCCGTTACGGGACATTATACAAGCTGCTCGGGGAAACAGTGACTGTTGGTAGCGGGTTCGTTTCTAAAGAGGCCAAGGAAGATGGACATGATACGTCCATATTGTGGCATAAGAGGTTAGGGCATATCGGTGAAAAGGGACTGTCTACCTTAGCTTCAAGTCAGATGGTAGAAGGAATTCCAAAATGCTCTATGGGTTTCGGGTTCTGTGAACACTGTCTCCATGGAAAACAGAACCGAGTTAGCTTCCAACACACTGGTACAAGAGCAACTGAGGTTCTCGAGCTGATTCACAGCGATATCTTTGGACCTACTCCGACTCCATCTATTGGAGGATCCAGGTACTATGTATCGTTCATAGATGATTTTTCGAGATATAGTTGGATTTATTTTATTAAAAGTAAATCAGATGTATTCGAGAAATTTCGAGAATTTAAGGTTTTGGTTGAAAACCAATTGGGCAGGAAAATCAAGGTTCTTCGTACAGATAACGGAGGTGAATTCTGTTCGGATAAGTTCGAG